AGAGAGAGCTAGATTTGGATCCTTATCAGCAAATTTACTTGATAAGAGCGGAACCACACATGAAAGGAGAGAAATGGGCAAATTTATATCATCTAAATCTTCTCACTTTCTTCCCAACACCTCATACGTAGCTGGCTCGTTTGTCCTTCAGCCTTCTTTGATTTCCCAGACCCCTTGTCTACGCCATCCCTACCTGCTGCAGTGGTTTTTCAGGTGATAAGGAAGGCAGGAGCACCATCTGCATTGTGCAGTCACTCAGCACCAATCCCTGAAGCCAGTCCTTTCAGGACCTTGGGAAATTCTACCGGAAAAGCCACTAACCCAGGCAGCTCCTCTACAATGAAGAACAGAAGTGGTTTCTCAATGCCTTTTTTAAAAAGTCTCCAGCTGTGAATCTGGGTCTCTGGAATGATGCTCTGTGTCCTTGGCCCCCTGTACTTTACTCTCAAATGCTGCTTATCTGCTCAGGAGCTCCTGTTTGCAAAAAGGTTCATGACAGTGGATGGGCAACTGTATAAAATATGGGCCAATTTTCAAACATGAAGGTGATAAATGAACAGGTTCTCCCCCAGATTGCTGAGCAAACATCAGCAAACTAATGTAAAGATATAATCATGATTAATCTCTTGATTAAAATAATTAATCTCGGTTAATTCTGCATTTAATCATTTCTTTTTATCAATGTCTAACATGCAGCTTTATAGAAATATTCATTTAGACTAATGGATATTTCATTCCTCCAATTAGTCTGTTTATTCTGAGCTTCTAAATGCCTCAAATTCCAGCTCTTTCATTTGTAGGCAACTTCAGTCTTATTGTCAGAGCTCTAGGCAGAACATTCTTTTCATATCTAAGACGAGTTCCTACAGTGTCTGGGGAAGGACAAAAAGGGGAATGAACCTCCTTCAGGGCCTGAGGAGGCTCTCCAGGCGATCCTTATCAAATATTTACTCGAGGATTCAGAATTTAACTCCGGCCATTAATTGCTTGTCCTGGTGATAATAACATAGCATCGGGCATGCGATAGGAATTGGCAATTCATTCTTTCGGATCAACGTTCTGACAATTGCTGCTAAAATAAGGCATCACCTTTCCCATTTCACTGATGAGAAAACAACAGACGTGCAGAGAGAGGCTATGGGCCTTGCACAGATTCACATTGTTAACTACAAAGACAGCATTGGATCATGGCTTTTCAGAATCTCCATACTCTCTCCAAAAAAAGTTAACAGGAAAAATTAAAAAAAAGTGGCCCAGTGGCAGGGCACGGCTGTGAATTCTTGGTGAGTGGACCCTCGTGACTCCGACTCCTGGCTCATCCTTCTCAAGTTACTTTTCAAGCACATGCTCTGTGCTAAATACTGTTCCCGGGGTGAGGGGTAGGCCAGAGAACAACACAAATGCCCAGCCCTGTGACTTCAGTCCTAGTGAGATCACAATCACGGGGTTTCAAATTTCTTGCCAGCATCACCATAGCAAGCTTGTCCCACCCAGAACTTCAGGAGAGGGACTTAGGGAAGAGAGGCGGAGGAAGGGGATGCTTGGGTAGGGACAGGTTTGGGAAAGACAGAGCCACCCTCTTAGTCTCCAGTTACCCACTCCTTGTGCTGCCTCCTCTCTCCCTCCCTCTCTCTCTCTCTCCCACAAGAAGGCGTTATTGCTGGACACAAGACCCAACACCCACAAATGAAGGGACAGGTGAAATTTGGCTCAGACGTCAATCCATGGCTGTCTGGCTCTCCATGGCAGAAACAGCACGGCAAATGGGTCCGGCAGACAAAAAGCTGCTCACCTCATAGCAGCTGCTAAGAAGGGAGAGAAGGGAGGAGGAGCCAGTGACAGGAATACAGCCTTTCAGACCACTCACCCTCGAGCTGCCTCAGCAAGGCCCCGCCCCTACAGCGCAGTCACGGTGAACTCACCAGTGGAGAATCCCCGGATGAGCACAGCCCCCATGGCCCAGTCACGTGCCATGCACGGGAGACTTTGGGGATACATTTTTAAATCTAAGCCATAACGAAAGGCCAGCCTCGGTGGGACGTAAATTGTGTCTCATTTCTTGCTGTCACCCCCAGACATGAAGAAGAACCTGGCTCATCAGACCTAAGGAAGTCCGTGCTGAATGACCGGTGAGGAAAGCATGGGGTCTGGGTGACACCTTACACACCCTTACACACCTCTTACACACCCTGCATTCTCTGAGCATGGTTCCACTTCATCCTCACAGCATCTCTAGCTGTCACTCCCATTTTCCAGCTGAGGAAACTGAGGCACCGCACAGAGGCGAGGCAGCGGGCTGGAGGGCGCAGCACTCCGAGGTGATACGATGCCAGGGCTGCCCTCTGGCCCTCTGGCCTCCTGTGGGAGGTGTGAGCTGCTCCCCAGGCTCCATCCACCCTGCAGGGTCCATGGTGCTGGAGAAGCCCCAGCGGAGCCCCTCGCGCAGAGCTGGTGCACCTTGTTGGGTAACCACTGCCCTAGGATATCGCAGCTGCCTTGGATTTTGATGTATTACCTATTTCTGTGAATTGCAGCTGACACAAAACACATTCGTTATGTGATAAATCCCTCTCTTCTCTTGATTTTGATTTCTTCAGTGAGAGCTGAGAGCAATGGTGGAAGGGAAGCCTCTCCCGTGGGTCCGCAGCTAGGGCTCTACTCTCTGCACAGCCGGGGACCCCAAGAACACTTCCTACAGGAGAGAGAGAGAGAGAGTAGCACGGCCTGCAGCTGAGCCACGCCGACAGCCAGCTTCCTCATTTGGTCAGCAAGGAACCTGAGCCTCAGAGAGGAAGAATGGCTTGTTCAGGGTCACACAGTGATTTTAGCGGAAGCCCAGCACAGGCCAGTTTGCCAGGTCGGCCTGCGATACCGTGGTGCATTCCGTGCAGACTGTGCCTGACATTTCATTCTCTACCAGCAGCCCCATTACAGATTGGTCACAGCCCCTCTGGAACCCTGCTTTTCCTTTCCTACATTTGCCCTTACTCAGAGCCCTCCTTTGGATCTTAGATATTGTGGTCCTTCGTCCCTAATCCCTGCTCTTAAAATGAGACACAAGGTTCACAGTGCAATTATAAAATAGATTTCAAAATAATTTCAACACCCGACGCAGTCCCATTACCCGAGCTCATTTTCTTTCCACCCTGTAATGTCTGCAAGGTGTGACCAAAAAATACGGTGGATGTTTCAGTAAAAGGCACATTACCATTAATCCTGCTCAAAACACCCTCTGCCTTTTACTACACTCATCCCATCCTCCTTGCCGCTTTTGGAAACAGGTCTGGACGCTCTTTTCATGATTATCAGTGCAATGTGATCAAATCTATGATGAATGCCCCTGTTGCGTTCCAGCCCATGGAAAGGCAGCTCAGTAAAACAGTGAACTGTGTTCTCAGCCACTGGATCCGGAACCACGTGACATTTTGAATTGAGTCAGCAACAACAGGGCAACTAGAGGCACTCACAAAAGAGCAAGAAACTCAGAAAGCCACAAGAATGGTGGTAGAAGCATGTTTGAAGGGAAGGGCATATTCTGAGTGGGATTATTGGCAATGTGTCCTTTTTGGTAATTTAAAAAAAATTTAAACACTTTCTGTATTTTTCAATGACAACTCATACCTATTTAAAATCTCTAACCTTACTAAAACTAGAAGTTCCATTTGATCCAGCCATTCCCCTTCTTGGTGTCTTCCTGAAAGAAATCAAACATCCTACCACAGTGATATGTGTGCACCCGTGTTCCTAGCAGCGCAGTGTGTGTAATAGCTAAGCCCTGGAAGCAGCCCAAATGTCCATCGACCGATGAATGGATAAAGAAGATGTAGACACGACTCCGCCACAAAGAAGGATAAACTTGAGACATTTCTAGGTAAATGGACGCACCTCGAGACTGTATTCTTAAGTGAAATACATCAGACACACATGTTCAAACATTGCATGGTTTCTCTAGTGTGAGAAACCAAAAGTGTAAATAAGGAACAAAGTGTCTAATAGATATTGTGGAATAGGGAGAAAATATTCAAATGGGGAATGAGGAGGGAGGGAGAGGGAAAGAAAGGAAAGGAAAAGGAAAAAAAGAAGGAAAAATGGAAACAAAGCTTTTGTAAACAAAGAAGGGAAGAGGGGTTTAAGGGAGGGGAGGAGGGAAAGAATCAAGATAAATCACATACAGGTACAAATTCCATATGATGAGTGTTATCATTGTGTATATCTAAAATGTGCCAATAAAATTAATTATTTTAAAAATACCTAGCCTCAGTTCTCTGGTTCTATGCAGTCCTAATAGGCTGGCCACCAGGCTGAAGGCTTTGCCAGGTAAGCCACTGACACTGTGAATTGCATTGTGTAAGTCATCACCTGGCACGAGGCTGGGCTTCTGCAGGTAGGGAAACCAGGAGCAAGACAGGCGACGTTATTCTTCACTTCGTACATCTGGGGATGGCAGAGGTGGGACTTGAGCCCACTTTGTCTCTCCAGCTCTGCTTTCCTTTAACCTTGCCCATCCATTCTCAAGGTCCTCCCTGGACACGGAAGCCCCCGTCTTCGTCTGCTTCATCTGGTACGACAGACTGCCTGAGTCTGGGTCATTTATAAAGAGCAGAGGTTTCTCCCCCTTAGTTCTGGAGACCGGGAAGCCCAAGACCAAGACACCCGAGTATTTGGTGTCTGGTGGAGGACCAGCCGCTGGCTCCAAGATGGTGCCACGACGCTGCCTCTGGCAGAGGGCGGCAGTGCTGTGTGCACTCACAGGGCAGAAGGCCGAAGGCAGGAGCTCTGGATGCTGCATGAAGCCCCTTTCATAAGGGGCCTGATGCCCTCCGCTCACGAGGGAGGAGTTCCCGTGCCCTGACAGCCTCTTCATGTTATCACCTGAATTTTGGAAACACATTGAAGTGCAGCACTCTCGGGAAGCTCCTTGTGGCATCCACACCCCATGAATGCTCGAGCCCCTGGCCAGGATCCTCCTTGTCCTCAGTGGAAAAGCCAGAGCCCGACTCTGCTGACTGTTGCCAGTTGAGGGGTCTGCACTGCGCTGCCACTGCAGAGAGCTCAGTAGCAGCATGAGCAGCCCTCCGGGTTGCATGCTTTTCCCTCCATCTGAAGATGTGAAGCTGAGGAGGGAGGCAGAGGGCAGCACCTGAGGCCAAAAGGCTGGCAGGTGGGAAGGGGTTTGTATTCTTTCTATGCCTCAGTTTTCCCCTCACAGGACCAAAAATTTCCTGAGATGGAGTGGGCGCTCCCTGTGAGTATCCACTCCCCAGGGTAGCCCTTTTCCTCAGCAGGGATTTGATGAAATGGAACAGGAGACAGACAAGTTGACTTGTAGCACTTTTATTGGTTCACCTACTCAGCATGTCTTTTTTGTTTTGTTTCGGTTCGGTTCTATGGATTGAAGGCACATGCCAGGCAAACACTCTTAGCACTGAGCTACAACCTCAGCCCTTTCATTCATGTTCTTGAGATGAGGTCTTAATAAGTTGCCCAGGCCAGTTTGAACTTACAACCCTCCTATGTCGGTCTCCCAAGTAGCTGGGGTTGTAGGTGTGCAGCTCTAGGCCTGGCCTATATGTTTGAAGGAGAATTTACGAAGAGCCAGTCCTGAATGAGGGCACCACACAGGACAAAGTGTGTAATATGGAGACAAGTCTCAAGCTTCGCCAGCTGCAGCTGAGAGTTCTTTTAGAATTTTATTTGCTGCTTTGTGTTTTGGAATTCCACTTTTGTGTGGTCAGCAAAAAAGGAGAGACCTAGTGCTTCCTGATGTTTGGGGGAAGCCAGTCCGTCTCTAGAAGCTAACTAGAAATCACCCAATTCCAATCCTCATGGGCACCACGTTTCCCCAGCCTCGCCACTGGATCGTGCTTGGCACCATGGGCCAAGGAGGGCTGTGGCTCAGGTGAAGGACCACATAGCTGCCTGACCACGTCTAAATGGTCAGCTTCAGGTTGGTTTTTAAGCTGGGCTGAGGGACTGTTGAGAGCTACTTTGTGGTGTAGAGTGTACACTGCAGTAACCTTTGGGGCACAAATCTCCACAACAGTGGTTTTCAACCCCAACTGATCCTCAGAGTCATCGGGAATGAAATGAGATCAGGAGTGTGTTTTCTACTCCCAGAGACCCTGTTTCAAAAGGTCTGGGTAATGGAAGACCCACCCAGGGCTGGTGGAGTAGGGCGACAGATGATTTGGGGTGGGTGTACCTCCCGTATAACTTCCTGTCCTGCTCACCCCCAGAAACTCAGCTTTCAAAGGCCTCTGAGCTCCTTCCGCTGCAGCCATCTCCAGTGAGAAAGCACCCCCTCCTGGTGCCACGGAAACAAGGATTCTTGGTCCAGTTCCTCCAAGGAGCAGGTTGGCCATGCTCTTCTCCCTGGGGCAGGGGAGGTGGGAGGCAGAGGACCTGCCCAGGCGCCCCTTGTCCCTCAAACTCCAGATGTTTGGCACTGTTCCACCAGAGCAGACACAGCCCCGAATTCTGCCAGTCTGCCTGAGATCAGCATATTTTAATTAATCTCCTAGCCCTCCTGTTCAGGGGATATCATTTTAACTTTGAGAGCCGTCCGATAAAGTAGACATGGGGTGGCTCTACCTTGGAGATGCAGGCCAACCGTGTTGCAGAGGTAACTGTGCTCCCAGGGCTGCAGCTGCACAGCAGAAGGGAAGTGGGCCGGAGCACGCATGTCATTTACAACATTGAAATTGGATTCTTCCCAGCTGGGGAGCCGTCACCCTGTGGAGTCAGATCAATGTTCAGAGCACGATGCAAACTCATGCTGGGTTTTTGTATGGGCCTCACCCCATGGCTTTTGACAGTCAGTTGTTCAGTCAATAAACAATTATTGGGCACCCTGTTGTATTCTGGGGTCTGTGAGATGTATTTCTTGTCACTGTGTTCAAACTGTGCATGGGGTACTGTGTTGGGTGTTCATTCATTTGCAAGTATGCTCTGAACCTCTGTGACAGTAACTGGAATTATTGCCCAAAGTAATGCTAATGTTTTCCAGATGCTATAAATAAAGTGAGTATGTTTCAGATATTACAAAACGATATATGTATATATATATATATATATATATACATATATATATATGTATGTATATATATATATGAATTTGATTCTTCCAACAGCACAAAGGAGGCTGCTATTATTATTGTTCCCACTTCACAGATGAGAAAACCAAAGCCTGGAGGGACAAAAAGGCAAGAAGAAATCTGGGGACTGAGCCAGGCAATGCGGTGCTCATGTCAAGGCTCCAAATGGCTCAGTGTGTCGGGCACACTATCAAAGTGTGAGAGTCACAATGCTGCAGCTGCTCGGGGTCAGGGCTGTAAAGTGTGTCCTGCCTCGCTCTGAAGCCCGTGACCATCCACAGCTTCTCACAAACCACTTCAGCTCTGTGCACCTCATGTCCCTTATGGGTAAAATGGGAAACAATGATAGTCCTGATATTTGGGGCTACTGTAAAGGTGGCATGATGTGATACAACCCACCATGCTACCAAGCATGAGACAAGGCACATGGTTAAGAATCAGTAAATATTACTGATCATAGCAATTTGTTCCTCTTTGAAACTTCTATAGTCTAGGGAAAGAGTGTACTCAGCTCTAAATGTTCTCTAGTCCATATAATTTGGGTTCAAGACCTGGATTGAGCTGTACACAGAGGTATACAGATGGTTTTCAATTGGTTCCCTGAGGGTGGTTGGTAAATTTTTCCTGTTTGCTGCAGCATCTTAAGTTCTCAATCTTGTATTATATAGGTGTTAGCTAAATAGGAAACATTTAAATAACCAGTGAATCAACTCATTACCTGATGGATGAAAATACCAGCCAGGATCTAATTTATGACTAGGAACCACATATTCACCATATCAGTGTTAAGGTTCAGATACAGGAGATAAAATACCTAAGGCATCTTGAGAGTGACACTTAAAGAGTGCAAGCCTGTGTGAATGTGGTGTGCATTACATGTGTGACCAGGCATCGAGGGGTGCAAGATTTTTAGAGGATGGGAACAGCTCAGCCCACCCAGACAGAGAGTGGTGTTTGTCGTGGGCATGATCGTTACCCATTCAGCATTGAAACATTTACACTGGTTGTGATACAGGTGAACAGAACTGGGAACTGGCTTGACTGGAGGCTGGGATATTCACCATGAAACACTTGGAATAACCCAAGCAGTGCCAACATCAAGGGACTTGTTTAAGAAGACCTCCTGCTTCAGATTAGTGATGATCAGACAGAGAGGAGAGAGAAGAGCAGGAGAGGATGATAAGCCACTCGTCCGAAAAGGGCATGCCCATCAAATGGTTCAGTATCCATGTTCCTGCTCAGTAGTTCTCTCTTGAACATCAGTGCTGACAGCTGCCCAGCCTCCCGATCTCAAATCAGACCTGGCAACTAGCCATCATGCTTTTTCCCTAATTTATCACTTGCAGAAGATCCCACTGCCTACTCCCCCTGTTCACCAAGGGTACCTGAAGCACAGAATGCGAAGTTGTGCAGATCTCAGGCTCCAGACATGAGTCTACCACCACCCAGTGCCCCTCACTGAGCCATTCAGTGTCTTTGGGAGATTGTTTTCGATTGTGCTTTTGAAGAGTTTGTGGAGGTGCTACCCTGAGAGGGGAGGGAAAGCTCCAGGTCCCTGCCCTGGTCCTAAACACAGCAACTTCATTATAAATCAATTTTCTCTACAAGGTAGAGTTCAGTAAATATTTTCTGTGTAAATGATAATGAAATAATTTGATTCTCCTGTAAATGACTCCTATGAAAAGAATGAATGAAATAATTCTTTGAATACTGCAAGAAGTATCCTAGTGAAGAAACACATAATGGTTGAATTATGCTCCTGTTAGATTTATATGGGGGAGTCTTAACCACTGGAACCTCAGAATGTGGGCTTCTTTGAGATAAGTCATCATAGGAGTAAGAAAGTTAGAGCGAAGCCACTACAGTGACCGTTTGTGATCCGATACCACTCAACAAATTTTGACACAGAAATATAGCATAGCAGGAAGAGGTTGTGAAGATACATAATAGAGATGATCTTCTATATGCCAAGGGATCTTGCTCTGATAGCCCCTGAAGAAATCATCCTCACTGATACCTTGATTTTGGACTTCTCACCTTTAGAATTATGAGATAGAATTAAGTTTCCATTTGTTAAGCCCCTCAGTTTGTAGTACTTTGTCATAGCAGCCTTAGGAAACTAAGGAATACTTAATAACTGTTCAGTATTAAAAATACAGAAATAACATTGATATATTCTTTTTATTGCTATAAATTTTTGAGAGAAAAGTATATTGTTCTTTTGATGCAAAGTTCAAAAAATAAAGGTTTTAGAAATTATGATAGTTGTAATAATAGCACTGGTCACAAAGCATTCTTATCAAATAATTTTAAATTATGAAATAATTTGATGTTATTCATTCTGGTTTATACCTAAGAAAAGGAGGCACAGAGAAATTGTAGAACTTCCTAAAGGCCATACAATCAGTACATGCCAATGTCAACTTGGATAATCTTGCTTTCTTTTTTTCTCAGAAACTTTACCCAATGTTCTTTTTATGTACAACATATGGAGCTAGGTTGGGTATTTATTCACAGACACAGCAGATAATTATTGGTTATCCTCTATGTGCCAGGAACTGCCAAACAAAGCAATTCAACTTCTAGTGGGAGAGATAAGTAATAAATAAGCAGAAAAAAATGTAATGTGATTTCTATGATGATGAATCCAATGAGTAATATTAAATAAGATAAGCAGTAGAATATTTCAGGGCATTGAAATAGAATGGCCCAATATTGGCTTTATGAGAAAGTGAGAATTACAGCCTCAATAAAATGAGGGTGGACTATGAAAATATAGGAGGAAGAAAAAAGTGTCAAGTATAGCCAGAAGTGCTAGATGCAGCAGGAAAAATGGCCCAAACCAAAGATGAATTGATAAGCAACACATAAGTTTTGGAATCTGTATTTCACGCTAAAGACAACACATCAGTTAGAATGTTGCTGGCATATTTTTTCCTTCAAGTAACAAGTCTGGAAAGAAGCATTGTGGGGATAGTGAAAATGTTCTTCGGAGCTATGAAGTTCCAAGACTCCTATCTTTCCAAGCCTCCCTGATTCTCAGCTTGTGACTCTCATTTGCACAGTTTCAGGACAATTTTCACCCTCAGGCATCTTGGAGATAAGAGAAAGGATGAAGGAATAAAGTTTCCTTTTTTGGAAGGCATCATCCTTTCTATATTGTGAGGAAAGGAACCCTCAAGAGGGAATTTCAAGGAATTTCCTTGGCAAGCACACTCAGATGGGCATTGTGGCTTCCAGGATGGATGGGAATTGAACATAAACTCCCTACTGCATTGCTACAGCTCACTTTATATGAAAGAACATTGGGTAGACAAGCAGCTGATTCTGACTTTGCTCACACACTCCTGGGAGATTTACCTTGGAGATAACTTTCATGCCAGGTGCTTCTGGAATTGGACACAGCTCACTATAGGCTATCCTTGCTGTCCGTGAAGCTCCCAGTTCTTATCTTTAAGAAATGGATTAGAATAAGTAAAAATTATATGGCAGCTGTGCACAGGCATGTTTGGAGTTAGTCCTGCACATGTGTGTAAGTCATGATGCCTCTCTTCATGCAGGATTCTACTGTGTAGAGGAGGTTTAGTCTTCTCTCTCACTTATTACCATACAGTTGGCACACAGAGGCCATGACATGCTTTTCCTGCAGAGGCCAGCGTCCATGCTGAACATAAAAATCCATTTCAGAGAAAGAGTGCCACAAATCTCTCTGTGCCTTGCTTATTTTATAGCACGAGACAATGATATCTACTTCTTGGATATGTAAAATGTAAAATGAGACACCAGTGCATAAGACATTTAGTATCATGTCTAGTAAACTGTAGTTCTTCAAAACAAAACAAAAAAAAGATATTTTCTCTAGCTTGTTGACTCTTTGCACATGAACATAGCCGCTTTTGAGAAAACTCTAGAAGAATACTCCTGGGGTTGGGGTACACATCAATGCTTAGACCAGCAGAATCTGATGTGCTTGTGATCTGTATGTACAAATTTATTAATGGTATGATATTACAGCAGCATGACCTGATATATTTGACAAAAAATGAAAATAAAAGCTAAATGAACTTCATTTGATTTCCCTCTGGAATTGAGATTTCGCTGAGATTTTCACAAAGTTTCAGCATGACAGGTAGCAGCCTATTTTGAAAGAAAAAAGAAGTTCATTTTTATTGCAGATGTCTTTCCCCCACCTGCTGCCTCCTTTCTTCAGAATCAATCACAGATTATTTTGGTTCCTCCCTGCCTTTATCTTGCAGTCGCTGTCCCAAATATAGATGTAGACACTGCCATCTCCGTCAGAAGCACCTCCCACGCTCACATGGTGACTTAGCAGCTCCCAGCTTCCCCATCGCTTTAACAAGTGCTCCATCTTCTTTCAAGAGTCTTGTCTTGACTTAGTTCCTTGGGTAGACTAGGCAGGGCACGGGCATCTGTCCTTGGTGCTGAAAGAGATCACGTCCCTTCTTTCCATCCTCCTAGAAAAGGCTCAATGTGTGAAGGAGATGGAATAGCTCTTGCTATTGCCACTTTGATATTACCCAGCATTCCCTAGCAGGCTTTGTGTTCCTCCAAACGTGTACTGTGATCTGTTGAGGAGGCCACTCGTTTGCCCTGTGGGCTCAGCCCTGAGTCAGTCTTATCCTGACCTGCAGCTAGAGGCTGGTGGGAACTAGTGCAGCTGAGCAGGACCCTTTTCCCGGGGAACTACAGGTCATGCTTGCCAGCCACAGCAGTCTCCTCAAGG